CAAGAGGCCAGTGTGGTATCAAGAAGGTATTACAAGAATGGGCAATTATGAAATACGGTATTCACACTATTTTTGAAGGCGAGATAAAGGGATTTATAGGGTGGAAAAAAATATTTTAATTAAATTAAAATTTGTAAAGCGGCCCGATTTATAGCAACTCTGAGTGGTATGCGATAGAAAGAACAAAATTAATAGCAACTATAAAACAAAGATACTGAATCATGGAGAAGGATTAAAAAACAACACTCTCAACATGCAGCATTTCACCAGCCCGCCAGCCAACTCAAAATCTGAAGAAAGAGACAGTTTTTAAGGGCGTATTTGAATGAGATGAACTCAGGTGCATATAAATCTCAAGCAGGATAGCACAATGGCATGTGCCACAAGAGAAAAGGTGGGACGATTTCATTGATGGAACCCAAAGCATGCAAAATCTACAAGACCGGTGGTGGGTTACGACCAGGTACACCCCTGTACGTGCGTACCGATACGTGCATACCTGTGCCTGCTGGGAGCACCAGGTACCGTTCGGTACGGTGCTCCGGAGGGCCCTCCCGCCCGCGCTCCTTACCGGAATTTGCGGTTTTTTGCGGTTCCGCGCATGGAGCGTACAGCCCCTGTGTGATGCTCTGCTGAGCAGCTGGAGCGTTATGGAGGCGTCACGGAGCGTCATGGGCGGTAAGTACGCATGCGTGCATGCTGCACATGTTCATGTAGTGGACCCCCAGCCCTGTTGCACCGTTGCAACAGGATCCGGAACCCACCACTGTACAAGACATAATGGGCAGATGCTACAAGAGATAGATGGTCCCTCAATTATCCATGGTCATGAAAGGCTGTGAAGATGATAACCAGCATTTTGAAATCCACCTAATACGTACTAGTAGCCAGTGTAGCTCACAAAGCAGCAAGGTTACATAGTCACACTGACGTGGTCATCATTTCTTATTCCATTGCATTCTGCACAAGCTGCAGCTTCAAATGGTCCTGAAGGGCAGCCCGCTATAGAGCACATTGCAATGGTTCCCTGACAAATGCGCGCTCGACAAAAGCGCGCCCGATGAAACCGCGGCGACAAAACCGTGAGTTCTAAATCACACCGACGAATGAGCGCAGAAGCAAACCGACAACAGCACGCCGACAACAGCGCGCCGACAGAAGCGCGCTCTAAACCTAATCCTATACCTAACCCGAAACCTAACCCTGAACCTAACCCTAAATCTAACCCTAAAACTAACCCTGAACCTAACCCTTACCTTAACTTAAATCGTGCTTCTGTCGGTGTGCTGTTGTGGGCGCAGAAGCAAACCGACAACAGCGCGCCGACAACAGCGCGCCGGTTTCGTCGGCGCGCTTTTGTCGTGCGCGCATTCGTCGGATCACGCACTGCAATTGTCCTTATGCAAAGTGATGAAAGATTTAATAATTGTTTGGAGTGCCTTAAGATCTAAAATTGGGTGCATGTGATACATATCATGAATCTGAGTGAAGGCCCCTCTGGCTACTACTACAGGAGCTGGGGGGCCTCGGATAACCCCCAAATTGCACATCAGTCTCAAATAGGGAAGTGAGGTTTCAGTTACAAGTGGTCCAAATACCCAAAGCCACTTGGTTGACCTTGATTCAGTTCCTTCTTATCCAGCCCCTGCCAGCCTGTATGAAAATTGCCCAAAATTATTGGATCCATCAACAGCTTCTTAATTCGTGGGGAGGGGGACACCTCACATTCTTCAATGACTCCACTGGATTTATTTATTTATTTATTAAATTTATAGGCCGCCCAATCCCGCAGGACTCTGGGCGGCTTACAAAGTGAAGAAAAAAAGAAAAAGGAAAAAAAGGAAAATAAAAAATAATTTAAAATTCACAACACACATACGTTGTAATCGGGGCTGGACCTTAACACTAAGGTCAACAGCCCCAGGCCTGCCGGAACAGCCAGGTTTTAACAGCCTTCCTGAAGGCCATGAGAGTGGGCAAGGTCCGGATTTCTGGGGGTAGTTTGTTCCAAAGAGTCGGGGCAGCCACAGAGAAGGCTCCCCTCCGGGGGCCCGCCAGCCGACACTGTCCGGCTGATGGTATCCGAAGGAGGCCCACCCTGTGGGATCTTATTGGCCATTGGGAGGTGTGTGGCAGTAGACGGAATCGCAGATAGGCTGGTCCTAAGCCTTGTAGGGCTTTAAAGGTAATAACCAACACCAGCACC